TGTTTAAAATTAAGGGAGAAAACGTCAGGGAGAGGCGGGACAGTGTGGGGTTCAGGTGTCACTTGCCTGGTGACATCTGGGGAGCTCAGTTTCCTATGTGACGAGTGGGGTGGTGGGAACTATCCCACCGGTGTTTGCAAAGCCCAGGGCACGGTGCGGAGCAAGCCACCGGGGCCTTGGAAGAGTCCCCTAGGGATAGAGTCACTAGGGATATATTGATCACCAATTTTCCAATAAAATGTCTTGTTTCCTTGAGGGCATACAAAGGTGACGATAACCTCTCTCCTTCAGAACGAGGGGAGTCACCAAGTGGCCTGACTGCACGAGCCTCCTTGGTGCTTCCCGGAAGGGTCAGGATCAGGCGCAAGTCAAGGAAGTCCACGGCCAGAGGGGATCGGGAGACATTCGGGAATTCTTTTGCCAGGGTGTGTGTGTGTGTGTGTGTGTGTGTGTTACTCTTGGAGTGCACAGAACGATACATTCAGTTATTTCTCACCTGAGATACTCCAATATTGAAGGGGATGATGCTGGATTTTAAAAAAATAGCACTTTAGGCCGGGCACGGTGGCTCACGCCTGTAACCCTAGCATTCTGGGAGACCAAGGCGGGCGGATTGCTCAAGGTCAGGAGTTTGAAACCAGCCTGAGCAAGAGCGAGACCCCATCTCTACTATAAATAGAAAGAAATTAATTGGCCAACTAATATATATAGAAAAAAAAATTAGCCGGGCATGGTGGCGCATGCCTGTAGTCCCAGCTACTCGGGAGGCTGAGGCAGGAGGATTGCTTGAGCCCAGGAGTTTGAGGTTGCTGTGAGCTAGGCTGACGCCACGGCACTCACTCTAGCCTGAGCAACAAAGCGAGAGTCTGTCTCAAAAAAAAAATAAATAAATAAAATAGCACTTTAGAGCCACCTTTGGAGGGTCTCAGAAACGTGATCCTAAGTACGTGGCCCGTGCACGGACTGATCTGCGGCTCCCGGTCGCCGTGCACCGCCATGTGCACACGGGACAGCCCTACCCGCGAGGCGGGGACGTTCTGGGCCCAGGAGGGGCGGCGCAGGACCGCGGTGAGCACCAGGCGTCCCAGGCCCACCTCCAGCTGTGGGGACACGGTGGTGGGTTTCACTCGGAGCCTGCAGCTGAAGGCCCCCGGGTTGCCAGAATATAGACCCGATAATCGTTATGAAGCGAGAAAAATGACGTGGGGCAGAAGGCCTGCCGAGTCTTTGTTGTAAATTCCCTCCAAGATCAAAAGGCACAGGTGTGGGCCAGCACGGGCCTCTGTTCTTTTGTGACCAGTTATGGGTGTCATTTACGCCCCTTTGGAAGCTCCCGGAGCCCGTGTCATTTTGCCAGTGGCCTTTGTGCTCGGCCCCCATTCAGCCCGCCCCGGTCATCTGAATAAGCACAGAGCTGCTGTCATTGTCCCCCTCGTTACCCATCAACCATCAGCCTGCCTGAGCGGGGCTGGCAGTTGCCAGGGTTACCGCCGCCGTAGTAAATGTGATCCCCGAGCCTTGGGGGGAGGGGCTGTCAGCAGAGACATATAAAAGGTCATCGGCAGGCGGTTAAAACGGAGCCGGTGCTGAGAACTGGCGTCGGAGTTTTGCCGAGTTGTTATGTCCTGTCCTTGTGTCCTGCAGGGACTGTGAGCGCAGCCTTCCTGGGAGAGCCATGCCGGGAGGGCCGGGTGGGGTCAGAGCAGGAGAGCCAGGACCCCCAAACTATCTGGGGTCAGATCATAAGCGTGTGTGCCCACACGGTGGACAGGTTGCTGCTGAGCCAGGCATGCGGTGGGCATGGGTGTTCACGATGGCAGTGGTCACTCCGGGGGCCTGCTGTGCTCTGGAAGAGCGGAATAGGCATGGTTTAGGTTTTTGGGAGAGGGATTTGCAGACCGTGGGGGTGGTTTTAAGCCCGACAGGTCAGAAGGATCCAGATGGGAGCTGGCCTGGGCCGGCACCTGGCACGGCCTTTGGCACCTGGCAGCTCTGGTTTCTGGGAGGTGAGAGCAGAGGCTTCCTGGAGACGGCGCATCAAAGGTGGGGGACCGGGAACAAGGTGGGGAAGCTGCCCCGATACAGTTTTAAAAATCGATGCAAAATATGCAAAATGTTCCGTGGTCGGGAGGGATGGAGGATTAGGTTGTGTCCCAGTTCTTGCTGTCATAACAAGGTGGTGACCGTCCTTGGGACAGAAGCCTTTGTGTACGGATGCGAAGGCATCTTGGAAATAGATTTGTGGAAGTGGGTTTGCTGCATCGGTGGATGTGTCATGTTTAGCACATTAACTGCCCTGTGAGTTGTATTTAACTCACGCTAGTTTTGAGCCTGGGGCCTTGTGAAGCATAGGTAACTCGCACATCCCTTCACCTTGGGAGCCGCTTGAACTGTTTTACAAGTTGCACATAACTCATGCCCAGGAAACAATAAAAATACCAGATTTTTCATTTAATTAGGATTGTTTTGTTTTCGAAGTTTTTATTCTGTTTTCTTAATAAAGCACTGTGGCCCCAGGGAAAATTTTTTTTCTAGTGTGGCAGTCAGTGTGTTAAATTTTGATCACCTTGCCAAACTGTCTTCTTAGAACCGCTTTGCTAGTTGCCATTCCTGCCGCTGGCACCTAAGCTACTCCTCTGTCTTCCCCAGGCCCGATGTTATCGTTGTCTCAGATTTTTGCCAATCTGATGGTAAAATTAGCCCGTGATTTACTGATCTACTTCTCTCGCCTTTCTCCGATTCCTTTGAGGTGGGGCTGTCCCCCACACGTTTGCTGCCTGTCCCCTGTGGTCTGCCAGCGTCTGCCCTGTCCCACGCTTTCTTGGTGGTTTTCGTTTGGGGTTTGACATCGCTGAGCCCAGGAGTGTAAAACTCTCCCGTGTTTTACTTTAAGGTTATTACAGTCTTAGCTTCCCATCACGTATTAAGGAATTTATTGAGCTGATTTTTCGGGTAACGGCAGGGGGTGAAGGTTTGACTTTCCCATTTGTCCGTTGGAAGAGCCTCCCCCTTCCCCCGCCCCGAAATGTCACCTTTGTCACAAACTACATTCCACAGCCACATCAGGTCTCTGCTGTCCCATGCAAGCCGTTTGTTCCCGTTCCACACACTGCCGTATTCCAGCATGTTCTGGGAGCCGCTGGGATACACTTTCCCCCGTTGCTCTTTACTCGGGCTGTTCTTCTGGGCACTCTCTCCTGCGTGGGCTCAGTCGGTCCGCTGTGAAGGCCCGTGGGGAATGAGGTCTGAGTTTGTTTCATTTGTTTTTATTTTTAGTTAGAGATGGGGTCTTGCTCTTTCTCAGGCTGGTTTCGAACTCCTGACCTTGAGCGATCCGCCCGCCTCGGCCTCCCAGAGTACTAGGATTACAGGCGTGAGCCACCATGCCCGGCCGTTTTCCGTATTCTTTTTGTCTACTTTTCATCTTTTGTCCCATCACTAAGAGCCTATGTCTAATCTGGCAGAAAACGCATCTAGGTAGGAGCAGCCCAGGCTGCTGGTTTCTTACAACCAAGGGCCGAGTTTTGTCCTAGGTTGGAGTTGGGCCAGGAAGACTTTGTACAGGGGATTAAAAGCAGGACTGTGTTCCGGAGTGACAAATCACATACACTCCACGTTGTTAGTGTTCATACATAACACACAAGCGTGTAACCAGCAGTGGCTGCCACATTTGGAAGGAGAATTTTATAGCAAGTGGCACTTCTGTTTGAAGGCGCGGCCAGCCTGTGAGCCAGGTCTGTTTCTGGGCGGCCTCCGGCACGTTGGCTTCATTCCCGCAGTGGTGACCGGGCTCCGGACCTGCCAGAGTGGGGGGAGGGGCACTATCCAATGGACGTCACAGGTGCCAACGTCCCAGCCGTCCCCTTCTCTCCTGCCTGCACATGTCCGCTCTGTTGTCAGCATGGCCGGTCCCTGCATGTGTCTTAACTCGGCCTCGCCCCGCTCTCTGCTGGGCACACAGGTGCAGGTGAGGCTGGTGCAGGGAAGCCTAGAGAGACCCCCGCTTACCTGCAAATATTAAAAACAATGGAGCGACATTTGATTTGCTTTTCCTTTTTGCTAGTTTGCAAGAAAAACTTAGAAAATTATTTTCTGGCTGGGTTTCTTTAGTACAGCGGCTCTCAAACGGGCGATTTTGGCCCCAGGAGACGCGCAGCTGTGTCTGGGGACGTGTCTGTGGCCACCGTGTGTGTGGGTGCTGCCGGCCCCTGGCAGGTGGAGGCACGGCGGCGTCTCGCTCAGTGTCCTGCAGCACAGGGGACAGCCTCACGCAGCAGAGAGTGACCCAGTCCCGCATCTGTGCTGCTGAGGTTGGGGTGCTGCTTTAGAAGCTCTGCCGAGTGTGGGTTGAGCTGGGAGTGTCCTCCTGCCGGCGGGCGAGCCCTCTGCCAGGGGTGCCAATCTTCCAGGGAACAAGACTCCTGCCTGGGAGAAGGGAGAGAGGCAGCTGCCAGCCTGACCTGGATTCGCATTTTGGCCGGTCATGGACCAGCCAAGTGGCCTTGGGCAAGTCACTTAACCTCTCGACTCTCTGGGGCCTGGGCTATAAAGCAAGGAAAACGAAACTCGCCTTCTGGGACCGTCTAGAACAGGCGTCCTCAAACTATGGCCATTTATCCGGCCCGCCGCTGGGTGATTTTTTGCTGCCGCCGCCTGTCCCACTTAGCAGCCGACTCGTCCCGGGCCCACAGTGCATGTGTGCAGAACGTGCGGCGCACTCTCCAACGGCCCTCCAGCGGTCCGAGGGACAGTGGACTGGCCCCCTGTTTAAAAAGTTTGAGGACCCCTCATCTCGAGGGTGGGCGTGAAGTGCCTGGAGCGGCGCCAGGCCGGGGGAAGCCTGGTGGCGGTTGGGGTTGTCCCCGAGAGCAGCAGCAAAACAGAAGCTCATTCTGTGCCCGGGGATGGGTCCCTGCGGTGGCTGCAGGAGTTTGGTTTTGTAGATCTTTCTGTCGTGCTAACATAGGTAAGGTCCCCCCACCCCCCCACCGCCTCCCCGAGTCTGTAGCCGTGGCGACGCTGCCCTGGCTCTGAGATGCTCGCTCTGTTCGACACGTTTCCCGCCGAGGCCAGGTTCGAAAGTGTTTTCTGAGTGCAAGAATTACGGCCCTAGAGTGCACAGGCGACCGTCTTTTTATTCCTCTGTTATCGTAACATAAAAACTCTGAGGCTGAGGACAGGGGCGTCTGGAAGGAGGCTTCGGGTGGGGACTTGCAGGAGCCCAGGTTCTCCCCAGGCTTGGCTGAAACCTTTCCAGGTGACCCAGCATATCCCTCTCCTGCCTCCTGTCCTGTCAGATGGAAGTCGGGGTGCAGGACCCATGGGTCTGAGGATGTCTTCCGGCCGGAGGACACCAGGACCCAGAACTGCACTCGGGGGGGGGGGGACATGCTGTGCCGACCCGGGTGGCACTTTGCACCTGGGCAAGGCGGTTCTCCTCGTGCCACCTTCTCGTCTGGCGGCTCTGCAGTCCCGGGAGGTGGCCGTCTAGGTGTTTCCGCTGCAGGGTGAGGTCGGCAAGGTGGCCAGGGCAGGGCTTCCTTTCACACCCACCAGGCTGGGCAGCACATCTGGACCCCGGAACTCGCCCTGGGAACCTGGAGGCCACAGAGTGCAGGAAAGATGGGATTTTCCCGGTAGAGTCCCAGCTGCCCCGGGAGCTGGTGTGAGAGAAACCAGCCCTGTCCAAGCCCTGGCCCTGTCCCCTCTCTGGCTTAGGGGCAGTCTGGGGTCCCCAGAGGCCCTGGGAATCCAAGCAGCGGCTGCCCCTGCAGTCAGGGCACCTGGCAGAGGCCTGCCGCCCGAGCCCAGGGCGTCCTTCCTCCTGGCTTCCTTCCGCGCATGCTTCCTGGTGGGACAGATCGCAGACTGCGCTCCCCCCAGAGCAGGGGTGGGAGAGCTGGGCTCCGCGAAGTAGCTAGAAGCTCCCTTGCCAGAAAGCACGGTGCCCTGCACCCCTGGGCCAGGAGGAAGTGGCCCCACGGTGACTGCTGGCCAGCGGTTTTGGTTGTGTCGACAAATCGGGCACAGCAGCAGTTTGTTGGTTTATGATTCCAAGCAAAGAAAAGGGCGTTGGTGTCCCTGAGGCTGGTTACAGTGATTCTCTTTGGAGGAGCCACACGACGAGGAGCCACACGACGGCCAGTTCTTTAGCCTGCGTAACCAGCGGGAGGTAGCCCGGCCCCGCTGTGGGGGTGGGTGCCTCTGGGGTCCCAGCTGACACATCTCTTCCTGCCACGGCACCCCCAAATGCCACCTGCCAAAAAGAGCCATGCCACAGCGCAGGAGAGATCCCCACCGCTCCACAGAGAGCGCCGTCTCTGGGCACCGTCTGCTGTGGAGCTGGGGTGCTGCCGGCCCTCCGTGCCCCTCAGCCAGGCCGGTGGGGCTGCCCTGGCTCCTCTCGGGCGTGCGTTAGTCCCACTGGTGCGGGTTCAAGCCACGCTCCTGCCCAACTGTCCCACCAGCTCGCTCACCTGCACGCACACGCACGAGCTTCAGTGGCACCGCCGAGCGCCGCCCGGCCGACCTCGCTGGCTGTGGGAGCCACGTGGCTGCGGCTCAGGAGCAGGAAGGGTCGGCTCCTAAGGGGGCCGTCCACCCCCAGACCGCGTCGTGTCTCGAGAGGCGGAGTGCGGAGGGCGCTGGCTCTGGGTGCCGTCTGGGGGTGCCTGCAGCTCCCGCCGTCCTGAGGTGCAGTGAGGTGACAGGGTGGTCCCTGGCCCTGAGCAGGTGCTGGCCACCTGCAGAGCCCCTTGCCCCGCCACTGGAGTGCAGGCAGGCCCCTCCCTCGTGCTTCCTGTGGGCACCCTGGACACCCGTCCCACAGCCCCATTAACACTCTGACAGCCCTCCCCCACACCCATCAGCACCCAGACTCCCTCCCCCCACCCGGTCAGCACCCTGGATGCCCCTCCCCCACACCCGGCCTCCCAGGTTCCGCAGCAGCGTTTGGAAATGGACCTTGTCTAATTTCGATTTTTGGGTCACAAACACCCATCAGTTACCGCTGGAGGGCAGAATGTTCATTTTCAAAATTGCTTTTTCCAAAAGAGAAAAAGGCAGGTTTGTATTGATCGGGTATTGATGAGGTTTGCAGATTAATGGCTTTTTGCCTCTGTTGTTTCTTTCTTCCTTTTCTTTGAAAGGACAGTGAAGGCGGACAACGGGCGGCCACCCACGGCCCGCCTCTCATGGCGAGGAGGTGTGGCCGAGAGCGGCCCCAAGTCCCCCCAGTGTTCAGCAACGCCCGGCGGTGGGCTCAGCGGTCGGGGGATATCGGGCAAGGCCAGCGGTGAAAGGGGCGCTTCACCGCCTGGGGGGAAATGCGTGGCCGGTGGCGCCCCTCCGGACCAGCCGCCGCGGCGGTCGTACAATGAAATCCTCACCGCCCGGCGATCGGCATTAGCCAGGATATGGACGGGGGTGGAGAGGCAAACCGGCGGGATCATCCGGTGACGGACGAAAACCGGAGGAGGGACTGAGTTTCTTCCTACTTTCCCTCCTGCTTGCACACTGTATTTAATTGATTCCTTTTTCCCTAATATAATTCTTTATGCAAAACCTGCTTGTACGCAAAGGATCCATGATTCGTGTCACCGAGGGGGTCGTCCTCCATTTGTTCTTTTTTTTTTTCCAGGAAAAATTTTAACGTTTTCATATTCTTTTTGGTTTGTTTGTTTTCGTTTAAACGGTCTTCTTTTGCCCAGGCTAGAGTTGAGTGCCGGGCGTAGCCTAGTCACAGCAACTCAAACTCACTGGTAAGCACTCCTCCTGCTCAGGCTCCCGAGTAGCTGGGGGTATAGGCATGCCTGGCTCATGTTTTTTATATATTGTTAGTGCCAATCATTTGTTTTATTTTTAGTTAGAGATGGGGTTTGCTCTTTCTCAGGCTGGTTTGCGAATCCTGACCTTGGCGATCCGCCCGCCTCGCGGCCTCCCAGGTGCTGGGTTCAGGCGTGAACCACCCATGCCCGGCGTTTTCCGTATTCTTTTTGTGTAACTTTTCATCCTTTTTTGTCCCATCACTAGAGCCTATGTCTTATCTGGCAGAAATGCTCTGGGTAGGCGCCCAGGCTTGCTGGTTTCTAAGCAAGGGGGCCGGTTTGTGTTCCTAGGTTGGGGTTGGCGGAAGTTTGTACAGGGGTAGAAGCAGGACTGTCCTGTTCGCGAGTGACAAAGTAACACTAAAACTCCATGTTGTTGAGGTTTCATACGTAACCACAGCAGCGTGTAACCAGCAGTGGCTGCCACATTTGAAGGAGAATTTTATAGCAAGTGGCCCACTTCTGTTTGAAGGCGCGGCCAGCCTGTGAGCACGGTTGTTTCTGGGGCGTCCGGCAAGTTGTGTTTTATTCCGCAGCTTGTGCCGGGCTCCGGACCTGCCGAGTGGAGGCACTATCAATTCGGACGTCACAGGTGCAGCGTCCCGTCGTCCCCTTCTCTCCTTGCTCCAGTGTCGCGCTCTGTTGTCAGCATGGCGGTCCCTGCGTGTGTCTTTTGTGCTCGCCCGCTCTCTGCTGGGCGCACAGGTGCAGTGTGAGGCTGGTGCAGGGAAGGCTAGAGAGACCCCGCTTATACCTGCAAATATTAAAAACAATGGAGCGCTTTCGCGCTTTGCTTTTCCTTTTTGCTAGTTTGCAAGAAAACTTAGAAATTATTGGGGGAGTACGCGGCTCTTTCCACGTGGATTTGCCCTGGGAGCCGCGTCGGTGTGGGTGCGGGGCACACGTGGTTGTGTTGCCCTGGCAGTGGGAGGCACGGTCGGGTTCGTCAGTGTTCCGCGCACAGGGGGACAGCCCAGCGGGAGAGTGCCAGTCGCGTCTTGTGCTGGCCGAGGTTGAGGGGTGCTGTTAGAAGCCTCTTGCCGAGTGTGGGTTGAGCTGGGGGAGGATGTCTTCCTGCCGGCGGTTCGACCCCTCTTTCCAGGGGTGCGATCGTTCCAGGGGACAAGACTCCTGCCTTGGGGAGAGGGAGAGAGCAGCTGCCAGCCTGACCTGGCGTGGTCGGGGAAGTGCGGTATAGTCACTTAACTCTGACTTTCTGGGGCCTGGGCTATAGCAAGCGAACGAAACTCGCTTCTGGGAGCGTCTCGAGCAAGCGCGTCCTCAAACTATGGCATATTATCGGCCGCCGCCGGGTGATTTTTTGCTGCAAGCGCCATGTCCGCTTTAGCAGCCGACTGTCCCGGCCACAGGTGCGCGTGTGCGGAACAGATCGCGCACTTCCAACGGCCCTCACTTGTGTGAGGTGGGTGGTGGGTGTTGGAAAGTTTGAGGAACCCTCATCTCCTCGAGGGTGGCTGTGAAGTGGCCTGGGCGGCGCACAGGCCGAGGGGGAGCCTGGTGGCGGTTGGGGTTGTCCCGAGGCGCAGCAAAACATGGCTCATTCTGTGACACAGGGGATGGGTCCCTGCGGTGGCTGCAGGAGTTTGTTTTGTTAGATCTTCTTGTCGTGCTCAACATAGTAAGGTCGCTCACCCCCACCGCCTCCCGAGTCTTGTAGCCGTGGCGGACGCTGGCCTGGCTCCAAGATGCTCGCTCTGTTCGACAGGTTCCTCCGGAGGCAGTGTTGAAAGTGTTTTCTGAGTGCAGGAATTACGGCCCTAGAGTGGCACAGGCGACGTCTTTTTTATTCCTCTGTTCTCTAAATAAAAACTCTGAGGGCCGGGACCAGGGGTGTCTGGAAGGAGGCTTCGGGTCGGGGACTTGCAGGAGCCCGGTTCTCCACAGCTTTGGCTGAAACTTCCAGGTGGACCGCAGCATATTCCCATCTCACTGGACCTCTGTCCTGTCGATGGAAGTCGGGTGCAGGACCTGGGTCTGAGGATGTTTTCCGGGCTGAGGACCACCAGGACGCCAGAGCTGCACTCCGGGGGGGGACATGCTGTGCGGACCGGGTAGGGCACTTGCCCCTGGGCAAGGCGGTTCTCTCGTGCCACCTTCTGTCTGGCGGGCTCTGCCAGTCCCGGGGGTGGCCCGTCTAGGTGTTTCCGCTGCAGGGGAGCTTCGCGCCAGGTTGGCCAGGGCAGGGGCTTCCTTTCCACCCACCAGGTGGGCAGCACATCTGGACCCCGGAACTCGCCTGGACCTGGATGCCACAGAGTGCAGGAAAGAGGGATTTTCCCGGTAGAGGTCCAGCTGCCCGGGAGCTGGTTTGAGAGAAAAACCAGCCCTGGTTCCAAGCCCTGGCGCCTGTCCCTCTCTGGCTTAGGGTCGGCGTCTGGAGGTCTCCCAGGAGGCCTGGAATCCCAGCAAGCGGCTGGCCCTGCAGTCAGGGCACCTTGCAGGAGGCTGCCGCCCGGCCCAGGGCGTCCTTCTCCTGGGCTTCCTTCCGCGGCATGCTTTTGTTGGACAGATCGAGCTGCGCTCCCCCCATGAGCCAAGGGGGTGGCGGAGAGCTGCGGCTCCGCGGAGAGGTAGCTGAGCTCCCTTGCCAGGAAAGCCACGGTGGCCTGCCCCCCGTGGGCAGGGGGAGTGGCCCCAACGGTGACTTGTGGCCAGCCGGTTTTGGTTTGTGTCGACAATCGGGCACAGTGCAGTTTGTTGGGTTTATGATTCCAGCAAGAAAAGGGCGTTGGTGTCTGAGGCGGACCGGTTACAGTGATTTCTCTTTGGAGGACCACACGACGGCCAATTCTTTATCCTTGTAAACAGCGGGAGTGGGGCCCGGCCCGCTGTGGGGGGGTGGGTGCTCTGGGGTCCCAAGCTGAACATCTTTCCTGCCACGGCACCGCAATGCACCTGGCCAAAAGGCCGCCACAGTGCAGGGAGAAACCCCACGCTCCACAGAGGGCGTTCTCTGGGACCGTCTGCTGTGGGAGCTGGGGTTGCTGCGGCCCTCCCGTGCCCCTCAGCAGGCCGGATGGGGCTGCTGGCTCTCTCGGGCGATCGCGTTAGTCCCATGGTGCTGGGTTAGCACGCTCATGCCAAACTGTCCCACCCAGGCTCCACTCACGCTGCCGACCGCGGCTTCAGTGGCACCGCCGAGCGCGCCCCCGGCCGACCCTCGCTGGCTGCGGGGCACGTGCTGCGGCTCAGGAGCAGGAAGGGTCGGCTCCTACGCGGGGGCCGTCACCCAGACCGCGCCGTGTCTCGAGAGGCGGAGTGCCGGAGGGCGCTGGCTCTGGGTTGCCGTCTGGGGGGTGCCTGCAGCTTCGCCGCCTGCGCGTCTGGAGGTGCAGGTGACGTGACAGGTGGTCCTGCCCGTGAGCACGGTGCTTGGCACCTGCTCGCGCCCTTGCCCGCCATGGAGTGCGAAGCAGGCGGTGGTGCTTCCTGTGGCACCCTGGGTCTGAACGCCCCCGAGCCTGTAACACTCTGCGCACCCCCTCCGCCCACCATCAGCACCAGACTCCGCTCCACCCGGTTCAAGCGCCCTGGATGCCCTCCCCCGACCGCCGGTCAGCAGCCTGGAGTGCCCTCCCGGCCCACCTGGGTAGCACCCTGGACTGCGGCGCGCCTCCCTACACCCGAGTCGAGCGACCTGGATGCCCTCCCGCACCACATCAGCACCCTGATGCCCCTCCCACACCATCAGCACCCTGCATTTACCCTCCCCCACACCCCATCAGCACCCTGGATATCCCGCCTCCCCCCACACCCATCAGCACCTTATGATCCCTCCCAACCCATCAGGCACCCTGGATT